TGTGATTTTTTGAGGACAAGTGATCCTAAAAATCAGCCACCGTCATCCTCAGTACATGATATATTATATATTTTTGTGGATTGTGAATAAGCAGTAAACAACAAGAACATTACAAAGCAATAAACCAGTATCTATTAAATCTTAGCATAAAGAGGACTTCCTTTGGAAAGTTTGGTTGAGGGCATATGACTATAATCAATCCCATCATCTTGCTTGTAAAAATGCAACCTGCTCAGCCGTGCTTTATATGTAGATGAGTTTAATACTGAATTTTTGTAAGTAACTGGTGACACACAAGATTCAATTTTCCAACTGATCTGTCCTATTTTCTTTTTTGTAGCAACCTTCTTCATTTCCAAAGCTCAAACAGTTACTTCTCTCACTGTGAGGAAAAGGGGATGATTCTACCCTTGTAAGGTGAGATCCCATTACAGATGGTTTCCTCTGCTGTCCACACCTCCAAATAAAGCACAAAATGGTAAAGCTAAATTGAAGGCAGGAGAATAAAAGAGTTCTTAAGGATCTGCTAAAGAAAAATATAATCACTTTTTATTTGGAACACATTCAAATGTTTGACCAAAGCATTTGCTTAATAATTAGGCAAGTACTGAGTCAAGTTGCATAGACCTCTAGAGAAACTAGTTAACAGGTGTGGTGGAGGAGAAGGTCTGAAATGTTGATGTGTCCCAAGTGTGAAACATTTGTGCTCATTTCAAATCCAGTTTTGCATAAAGTTATACCAACAAGTGTAATGGTGTAACTGACATGGAGAAAATAGCTCAGAGGAACTGAAGAACTGCAGGTGATAAATAGGGATGGAATGTGAGTCTGTGCCAATTCACTGATTAAACAGGGAGGAACAGCAGTACATTATGGAAGACCTTTGTTTGTCTGTATATTTATATATACACACATGCATAACATACTGTAATAGTCTGGGGATCTGTTTGTGAACAAAGAAGGTTTGGGAAGCTTAATTTTTACCATTAGAACAGCTGCTTTTCCTGGTGTAAAACATTTTAAATTCCAGTGAGAAGTCTGACAAGAAGTACACTCTCTAGAAAGGCAAAAATTTAATACATCTTCCAAACTGTGAAAAGCCAGGCCAGTTTAGAAATGAGTTAAATAAGAATAACTAAAGTGAGATGAGGATTATTTCTCAGATGATCTGTAAGTTACCTGTAAAGAGCTGATACATTTACTTAGAAACTAAAAGCCCAGGAAAAAGTTTTCCTCTTAAGGGGAAAATAAAGAAAAAAGAACCTGAATTTTTACCAAAAGCTGTTCTTCATGATCTGAAATTCAGGTTCCTTTAATTTAGCCTTTCCTTGTGGAATCTTTTCACATTAGAAAATGTTGATGCAAACAAAAGGGGGAATGCATGTGTCACAAAAAGTGCAAGTTAATGCAGAGATGAAGCCACGATCCATCTGTATGCTTTTGTCGAATCCATCAATGCTGTATGGCTGACCATACAGCACTCCCCTTAATAGCAAGCTTTTCAACAAGGGCAATTTTGGGGCCATCCTGTGTACTCATTCCCTTTTCTTCATCCATAGCAAAAATAGAAATGATGCAAGTGCTAACAGGGCACAAAACTGACCTACAGTTATCACGGGGTTTCCATTCTTTTCCACATTATGTGGCTATGCTAAATTAATATAAATGTTTCCAAGAGTGCTAAGGGAAAAAAATATGTTGTTTCCTTTAGACAATTTTAATGAAAGTCTAACCTTTTACATTAAACATCAGTTGGCTTCGTTTACTTTTTAGGCAGAAGTTCACATGTTTTCAGCAAAGGACACAATTTAATGACCATATACCAGATTATTTAAATGAATGGTTTTAATGAGTTCTTTGAATAGGTATCTCTAAGAAGCATGAAATTACTTTCTCAGTTAGGATTTTTTCACATATTTTAAGGAAAACATACTTAATCACTTTACAGAAAACACAGGCCTTTGTTGCTTTAGCATTTCCATGCCTTTGTGTGCTAATAAACTAGTTATTTCATATGACACCAGTATAGTAAATTGATGTTTTGTATATTATTACTTCCTAAGAAACATTTTTTCCTCTAGAAAAGGTGAAAACACCTTTCATTTTAACAGAATGGGATTATTTAACAGTTTATGTCTAAGTAATGGAAAGATATGGACAGGCCTGATACAACAGGGCAAAATTAAAAGGCTCCAAAACTAGACTTGATTATTAACTTATTAATACTCTTAAGAAAGAAATACATCCAAGTTCTACTAGGATAACCTCAGGTGAATTAAAAGTAACTTGAATTCACCAAGTGATTTAGCTTCAAAATTACTGAACTTGGTATTTACTATTTAGTCATTCTGTGTTATTTATTGCAATATGAAGTACTAATTTCATCCAAATAAATAGGATTGGGCAAAGTCTAAATACATTTACAGTTGTCTATAATGATGTCTTTCACTTCTGAAGCAGCAGAGTGTTCTTTAAGCAGAGTGTTTTTATATATGAATATATATATGTATCTATATATCTATATATTTATATAATTCTTTAAAAGATGCTTTATGGTTTAGTGTGATTTAATTGACCTGATTTTCTCTATTAATTTTGTATGTATACAAATAACAGCACTGCAATGAAAATGCAACCTGAATGAGAGATTTTAGAATATTTAATTAGCAGTATTTTGCCTCAGAATAAAATCTTTTTTTCTTATGGAATAATGTAATAAAATGGGCCTGGTGTTGAAAGCCCGGTTAGTCCAGAGATAGTCCAAGCAGGGTTCCAACATTTGGCAGTCTTTCCCTGAGTAAAAAGTTAGTAAAGATATTTATTTGTTTGTAAGGTAACTGATGTAGTTCACTGGCATTTTGTTTAGACATTTTGTTTAATTTTTTCAGATTCCACTGTGATTTCTATAGATTTGACTTAGTATTACATATTTCTAATTTTGTTCTAACCCTCTTTATGGCTTCTGGGTGAAACCACTACAAAAATCCCAAAATAATTCATTACCTCATTCTTCATTCTTCCCTCCTCCTGCCCATGGAAATGTACTATGGCTGAAAGAGACTGAATCTTAAGCAATCAGTTCACTGAACCTTTCCATCGCCTTTTATTATATTGTGATATAAGTATCTCCTTGTGTCGGTCACTACTCAATGATAGAATTATTGTCAAGATGTGCCTTCTGAAGGCATCCTAATACAAATGCTGTTGTTTTTCATGGTAAGTTTTTTATCTCGTGGTATAATATTTAACTACTAAAATACTTAGCAATCATTATTATTAATAAACACCACTGTTAACTCTAACCTTAAAAGTCTTTAGCATTAGCTTGATACACATCAAGTGCTTAATAGGTACCTTTAAATATCTTCAGTATTGTTTAAAGAAAAGTCTTCAATTCTCTCAAGAGAATAATGCTGTTTAAGTCCAAATTATTATTCTTTCTCATTTAATAAGGAATCTGTTCCAGTAAGACAAAAATAGAACCAAGTTGTTCCTACAAGATTGATCATGTTTGCAGTAATCAATGATTTGCTTCATAGGAAGAAAAGTTTATTTTGCTATCTTAAAAACATTCTAAGATCAACCAAAAAGGTCTCCACTTTAAAAGCATTTGAGCATGCCACTTAGAAGCAGTCTATGGCTATTTTATATGGTCTTTAAAGTGCTCAATAACCCCATAAAGTTTTAACCTATATTTTACTGGTTCCTGTTACTTTGTGCGTTATATGTTTAAAGACAATGAAAAGATTTTTTCATGAATCACATGAATTTTTATTTTACTCTTCCCATAAAAAATCTTTATAATATCTTTTAGTATCTCAATTTTGTGTATGAATTATATAATTGTCAGCAGGCATTATTCTAAACTGCAGTTTCTGGACCAGAAAACCATATTTAAATCATCCTTGGCATTAAAATGAAATGAGTAGATGACTGCATGGACTGGCAGGGTCATCCTGCAGCAGAACACATTATGAAATCAAGTATTAATATGTCTTTAATTGGAAGTGAGGTATAAGTTATTCAAAGGGGATTTTTAATTTACCTTTTGTTTTTCAACTGGCAAGTGAACAAAAAGTGAGTAATTAAAGTATGGAAGGTATAAAATACTCCATCAGCAACCAAACCTTGCAGGGGCATTTCAGTTTTCATGCAGAAGACGTAAAGCTTGGTGAAAGACTTTCTAGCTACAATAATGAATGAAGTCACCCTGTGTAAGATTACTAATCTTTTCAGTATCCTTTACTTCTATGAAGCATTTTTTAAGTTTCAAAAAAGTCTAGCTTCTTCCCAGATAGCTCAAAGAAGTCACAGATGTTTCTCAGACAAAAATCTGATGCCAAATAAAGGTTGCAATTTCACCAGGCCTGTCATGTTAATGCCAATGAAAGCCATGGGTAATATGACAGCAAGCTTCTCATCAAAAGAGAATCAATACTGCTCTACAAATAAGAAGCAAATGCTTCAGAAAGTTTTAGACTGTTTGTAAATAGTTTTGTTTGGGAATTCTTCTCTTAGCCATAATATGAGACCCTGAGATCAGCTCAGTTTGTCTCAGAGTATGATGCTAATAATGCCAAGGTTGTGTATTTGATCCCTGCTCAGGCCATTAACCTAAGAGTTGATGATCCATGTGGGTCCCTTCCAATTCAGACTATTCTGTGAAATATCTTGGCTTTTTCCTCTTCTAAAAAACACAAGCCAAATACACCTACACACTAATTTACCTGATAGCTTGGCAATTAACACCAGTCAGAAACCATTAGAATGAAACAGACCAATAAAATTAGGCAGTAAAGAAAGCTATAGATAATAATAGATAATGACAACCACTATTAACAGTCTGATGCAAACAGTCTCCAGGACATCCATGGGAGCTGTGGCTGGTGCTTCCCATTCCCAGCAGGGCACAGCAGAGGGGCAGTGTGAGGCTGGGGAAACTGCTCTGGGACCCCTCTCCATTCCTTCCCTCAAGGTCTCCACCCTGCCCAGGCACTTACCTTCCTACCACCCAGAGCCTCAAAGTGGCTCCGCAGCTCCTCCACAGTGACAGGGACGTGCTCCATCAGCTGAGATCCACTGAGGGTCTCCTCCTTGAATGCATCTGCCCTCCTGCTGTCTGATGGCATCTTCTCCAGGGTGATCCTATCTGGCACCAGGGATGGTGGGAGTGGCAAGTGCTGGAACATCAGGTCTGGTCTTGTAGCATTGGCAGACTCCCATCTCTGCTTGAGGAGCTCCACGGAGCCCTTCTGCAGGGGCAAGTCTGCCAGCTCCAGCGTGCCCTGCCAATGCAACATGGACCTGGGGTCAGAGGCCAGTGCGTGGTGCCAGCAGAGACCACCAATGGAGCAGCTCAGGAGCCCTTGGATTGGAGGACAGGACGTGACACAGGCTGGTGGCTGGGACAGAAGCCACTTCCCAATGGAAGATGTGAGATCCAGTAAGATCAGATCCAGTAGGAGTCAGTGAAAGGGTTCAGTGTGTTCATACAAAAGGAATATGTGAATTACAGTGTGAATTAAAGGTGCTGTTCAGACATTTTATTCTTAAGCTTGACAGCAGAATTGCTGTCTATTATGAATGTAAAAGCAGCAAGCATGCAATTAGTGAGAATTCCAAACAAAGTGGGGTTAATGAGTAAGTGCCTGGTTATCAGTGTGTGCTGCATGAAAGGTGTTGTGACAGGTGACTGCTGATTTTTTTAAGACCTGATACAGCTATCTGTGTTGTGGGTTGAGTCATAGCATTTTAAAGCAGCTGGGAGACAGAAGGGCTACTGCATTAGCTGAGAGACTGCTTGGGTAGCCTGGAAACACAACCCAGGGTAGTTCTCCTAATTGCACTGTAACTCTTGTCAGGTAAATTGCTAAGTGTTGATATCCAGCCTTTCTCATCAGTTGACTGTGCTGACAAAGACTTCTTCTCTCTTTCTTATTGTATGCTCAGGAAAGAAAATTGCCATTATTTGGCGCCAGTTGATGAATTCTGCTCCCCTTTTCCTAAAATCAGCTCCTAAGGTTTGATTTATTTTGATGTTTTCTGCCCTGTAGCAAATACTCAAATGTAAGTTTTCACATCTCTTTCTAAAGGAGATTTAAGTAAAAAGAACACGAACTTAAAATATTAACAAGAAGGAAATGTTAAGAACTGTGGCTCAATTAGTAACTAAAATCTCAATTCATTAGTCCCTTTCTTTCGTAAAGGAATTCTTGAATGTGTGTAGCTGCCCTTTATTATGCTTGTGTTTGATAAAGTTTAATTTAATCAGCATTGTTGGGAGTTGGACTTCTGGGTTTTAAAGTAATTTTTTAACTAGAATTAAAGTGGCTGTAATATTTTACTTAGGAGTTAAAAACACATGAGGAGTGCTGGGTATTTGATGTGTTCCAAGAATAATTTTAAAAAGAGACTTCTTTAAAAAGGTCCACCTTTCTTAAAGAATATGGAAAAGAGTTTCTTCACTCACAGTTTTCACCTTTTGTATAACCAGAAGTTGGCCCAAGGCTTATTTCTCCTTCAGTTTTTTGGCAGAACTACATTGTGATGATGGTTAACATCCTGCTAGTTTTCCTTAACTGATACAAGCTGTCTCTCAAGCCCTTCTTGCAAGCAAAAAAAATGACATCCTTCCTTCCCCTACCATATGTACTTCTTCCATCAAAGATCCTAAATGGGCCTGGTTTCTGGCCCAAAATGAAAAGCAGCTGTTAAATTCCCCAGTTGCAAGAATGTTCATTTTAACTCACAGCTGTAGGTTAGAAATACTCCTGATTTATGCTGCATCTAAGGGTTGACTTTAGACTATGGAGCAGACTTTTCCTAATTTGCTTGAGAGTGCTTATGCAATACCCACATTCTCCTATATTTTGCTTCATTTCTGGTGGGTCCTTTTGTTGGTTTCAGTAATTTTCAGGGTATGTGTTATGCCATCTTTCAAAAATAGTTTGGAGTGTACCTGCTTCTCCCTCACAGCTCTCAAAATACTGTTAACTAATTGTGGTATCTTCTTTTACGCTTGTCTAGTGTGGGACCTATGGCTGATAGTGGATAAAATGAGTATCTGCTTTGCTAACTTGCATGTGTTGGATGAAAGGAAATTGTGTGGAAATACAGTAGTTCATAAAATTGGATTCCCACCCCAAAAGAGAGATTTCATTGTAATATCTGCATTTGTGTCAGGAATAAATTTGAATGTAGGCCCAAACTTGACTTTCAGCGACTTTCTAAATATATATTTTAGTGAAAGTGTACCTCTGAAACTTGGGGAAGGAGGGGAGAACCAAAACAAAAAAACCCAGACCAGGTTTGGGTGTGTTCTAGAGGTTGAGGTTTTCACAATTTTTATGACTTATATTTCTGTTCTTCTAATTTCTTTCCCTACTTGTTCACAGTAGTTTCAATCACTGTTGAATACTAACAGTAATTTATGTCAAGTAAAATATTTGAGGAATATTTGATATCTAGGATTGTAGTTTATTTTAATTGTTTCCTTGAGCTTTTTAGTGCCTTATCCTTTGTGAAAATGTAGGGAGAAAATGAGAAAAGCACAGATTTTGACTTTGACCTATGCCATTATTATAATTTCGTACTGGTTATTCTGGTTGTAGTTTTTCACTTTTACTGTCCCTCTGTAAAAATATCTTATTTAAGTGACAGGGAGAATAGATACTGTTGCTTTTATCAAATATCAGAGATTTTCCTTTTGTGTCAGCTATTTTTGGCACTCAGCTGTCTATATTTGTCCTCTGGCCTATTTATTTCTCCCCCAAACATATCTTGATTTGCTATCTCATAGTGACAATAGACTTAATACATCATCCAATTAGCTGAGATGCGGGCAAAATTGGATCTGTGGGTCTGTGCCTTCTTCCCAGGAGGTGCATAATAGGAGCCCACCCATGAATGGAACTGGTGGAGAGGCAGAACTTACAGTCTGTTACAGTCACATTTTCAGTCCTGTTGCACCTGCTCATAACAGGTAAGAGCCCATAAAAATGAGCGACATATTTTAAAAATTATTAATGTGACAGGATAAAGGTTTCAGTCAGATTAAAAGTTTGCAGAGAGCATTGCCCTCTCATTTTCCTTGGTTTGGAGACTCAAATGTGCTTCTGTGGCAGACAGTGGAAAAATGAAGATTACAGTATGAAAAATTATGTTCGTTAGTGAGCAGTCATTTTGGCAGAAATGGATGGTGGAATTTTTGTGAAGAAAATACCTGAAATGCTATATAACCTTCACAGGCAGGTCTTTGGGAATGCTACCTATAAACTTTTTGCATTAATGTGTTTGTTTTATGAGGCCAAGGATGATACAGCATTCAGACATTGCAGTCAAATTGTAGGTTTTGGGTTTTTTTTGTGTTTCTTCTCTGGGGTCTTTTGTATCTCTCTCCCATTAATTTATTAAGAGGCCTACAGTAATTCTTCATTTCATGTTATACATCTGATAAATGTATACTTTTGTTCAACAAACAGCTATGGGAAGGCCTGTAGATTTTGTGGACTCATGAATTGCAGGAATCCAGTAAATGTCAGGATATTTTTAAAATAGGAAGTTGTTGATAAATCTGTCTTCACAGTCAGGTATTGTTTGTTTTTTTTCTTGCACTGCCAGTGAGACATGTCTCCTCTACTGTTCCCAGACTGTGTATTCCATTAGTAGGTGCACATATGCAATATGCATTCAAGAAAAGCTGTTGAGGAAAACTATGTAAGTTCTGCTCTGCGTTCCTTTGGCAAAACAGCTACCTGCATTTTCATCATATTCTTGCTATCTTAAATGTATCTTACATGTAAACTCTTTCATTTTTTCACTAGCAAAGGAGAAAATAGAAATTATAAAAATAGGAAACTGAATCAGTTTACTTGTAGAGCTATTTGTGAATAGTGTTGCTTGTATACCCATGGGATGATACCATCATGCATATTGTACTGGTAAGTCCTCTCCTAACTTTAGAAAACAGTCTGTTGTCAAGTAACTGGCATTTTCCACTGCATATTGAGCTGAATTTCCTTTTCAATTAAAAAAACCCAACTAAACCAACAAAAAAACCCAACAAAAGAACCCAACAAAAAACCCTAACAAAACAAACCACAACACAAAAAAGACCCTCACACCAAAAACACCAAAATTCTTTTGAGGACAGGATGTGAGAAGTCCTTTTCATGATTTGCCATGTTATTTCGTCCAGCTCTTGCATCTGAGACCTTCCTTTCTGTTTCACCCTGATTCCAATTAATCTTAACTGTCAGAAATTCCTGGCATGAGACTCCATAGTACGTCTTGGGATAAATTGTGAAAAGACAGCACATTGCAAATGAAGACTATATCATCCAGTGTTTTTCCCAAACCACTAAAGAACAGCCCCCAGGATCCAGAGGAAGCTACAGATCAACAAGCAGCTCACCCTTACTTTCTGGCAATTCTGGGAAGGGATGCAGAGGGGTAAAAGAGGGGTAGCTACTGAAGTTCTCTACTAAATCTAGACAAGAATAGAATAAAATTGTTCAGTTGGAACATTTCAGTTGGAAGATTGACAGATATCCTGTAGTCCAACTGCAATATTCACTGGCCATATTACTAAATAATCTATCTTCTGCTTAGGACTCTTTATATGTGCATGCAATAGCTGGGCACATGTTTTTGACACCCTTGCTTGAAAAGCTTGCAGTTTCTTCTGCAGGTAAGCAGAACCTCCAGTATCTGTAACATTTCTTCATTTGCATTTCAGACACTTAACAAAATCAACTCAGACAAGTTTATGAAGAGTTAAAATAGTTCTTCATTACTATAAAATGTAAAGCACTTCCAAATTCCTAGTCATATTTTGAGAAAATATTTTAGGGCTATCATTTAACATACCAACCTTTATCCTGATACAAATATGCATAGGTAAATAATAAAACTTGAAATGTTATTTCAACTTTGAATTATGACAGACACTGTTCTAGCTAGTATAATAAGGTTCCAGTATTTAAAGGCAAATCATGCTGAAATATTAATTTCTCATATCTTACCAGAAAAATCAACACATTTTATCTTCTAATAAGAGAGGAGTAGAAAGTGCATAATTCATATTTGTGGGATTGAGGAAAGACATGTATATTATTTTTCCTTTTATCCC